TGGAGGCTGTTGCAGAGGTACAGAGAGGGGCCCCTCGAGCTCAGGGTCTTTGTTCCTCTTTCAAGGGCTCTGCTTCCCTCTGATGATGGGCCCATTGTCTGTAATTCCAGTGGACCTGCACCATTCAGACCAGCAAATAAAGACCCTTTTGATAAAACCAAAGCAAGGGAGGACGGAGGGGAAAAAGGAGAAAGGGGAGAAAGGCAGTGATGGAAGCGTGGAAAGCTAAAGTAGATGGGAGGAAAACACTTGGTGCTTTGGATAAGAAGTGTGTGGGATCTTTAGATGTTAGAAAAAACATGATAAAAAGAATAATTTCAAGTGGAATAAAAGTGAAATGTTTCACTTGTTTCTGAATCTCCAAATCAACGATCGAGCTTCAGGTGAGCAGGTTTGATTTTGCTGCAGTTTGTCAAATCACATGCCGTCAAAACCACATTCACAGTGAACACGGCATGTTCCTGAATGTTTTTACATTTCTGTAGAACATGAAAACTCCTTGGAATAAAAAGGTCAGCGCTCCTTGGGGTTTAGACTGAGATCGTCAGATGTTCAGAAATGGTGATGACCTGTTTTGGTCAAGCCATGTAAATTAATGTTACGTGCAGTCCAGGGCTTAATTTGAGCCGGATCTTGCCAGAACAGGATCCGGGAACTTTTCGTATTTTGACAGAGTGTGTTCCGGTAACTGTTTGCTTGGATCCGGTAACTGTCAGGCGTACTAATAATAAAGTTATGAACAAATTTGACTGCCTTGGACAAATAAAATTTTTTATCAGATATGTATCTGAAAATAATTACATAAACACCAATTGTAGACATAACAGCCACTTACGAGCTTCCTAATATCACATAAGAGCTGCCCCTTCAAAAGTATTTCTGCTTCTACCCTTTAAAAACAATCTCCCCCCTTGGGGAGGCGGTGTTTGAATGCTTGAGAGAAGCAGAGTGTGCTCTATTCACACAAGGAGAGCTGTTGGTCAGGTTACTTCTTGTTGCTCTCTAAAATAGTTACTGAATCAAGTGTTTACAAATGTAAGTAATTGTAGACAGTTAGCAACCAGTTAAAATACACCAGAATACACAGAAAGTTTTAAGAAAGGACTGAAGGCCTTCTTATTTAATGATTTGGCCGAGATGGTGTAGAGGCAGGGCAGCCGGCTTGGGACCCGAAAGTCCCAGGTTCGATCCCCAGTCACTGCACATCACGTGGCGTCTCTGGGCAGCACGTCTCATCCCCAAAATGTCCCCCGGGTGCTTTCAATAGCTGCCCACTGCACCACCTGGTGGTGGATGGGTTAAATGCAGAGACTAATTTCGCCATTGTATGGAAACATACAGTGCTGACATTGTGATGACATTATTATTATTATTATTATTATAGTGTTTCAATGTATTTTTAATCCTGTTGTGCTTAGTTTTTCAGCTTTTTAGTCCATGTTTTATTCTCTAGATGTTTTATTTCGTAGCACTTTGAGATTGTAAAAAAGTAAAGTTCAGTACAAATTGAATAAATTATTATTATTATTATTATTATTATTATAGGAAATGGCATCAACTTTATTCAAAATTTTTTGGGGCAGGAACCCCTGCCATTTGCGTTCCAGCAGCAATTGATTTACAAATTAAGCACTGGCGCAGTCACATGTAATATTCACACTTACTTTCAGCTGCTCCCATC